TAAATTCTTTTAACTTTTCTGATGGTTTGATTTGGAGTAAAGGATCCATTATGTCACTGGTTTCTTAGATACAATTATGGCATAAAAGTACTTATCACACACAGAATTGTTTCTGTGCCTTGTGATACTGGTGCCCAAAAATTATTTACTTTCCGATAAGAAGTTTCTTCTCTAGGTCAGAATAAAATTCCTTTAATTCTTCCTCCTTTTCTTGAAATGTAGCATCTACTTTGGAGCACTTCTGGGTCATATCTTCAATGAAACATTCCCAATCTGCTTTCCTAATTTCACGTCTTGCTATCAGAGTTGTGTCCTGGGAAACAAATCGTGTATAAGATATATTATTATTAATTTTTTGCATCAACTGTACAATGTCAAAGATAGTGTGTCCAACAGCATGTTATATGGGCATGGGCTACCATTACACTCCACATGAATGTATAGTAACCTAAGTTTAGAAGAACAAAATTTAGGTTGCTGAGGTAATGCAACAAATTGTCTCTGTAAATTTTAACTTACAGATCGGTGTTGCTCTTCTTTCTCCAAAATGCGATTACACATGCTTACAGCCACTTCCAAGTTGGCATTTAAAGTTGGTAAATGGATATCAGAAGCTAATTTCACTCTATCTATTTGTGTGTCTTTGATTTCTGTTGATCTCTCAAGTATCTGGAATAACCTCTCCACTTCTCGATCAGAACGTTTCTCCTGTGCAGATAAGAGCTTTGTAACACAAGTAATGAAGTTATAATTCAGCCTTTACAGTGTCATATATAATTAATAATGTGCTGAAGTGAGCCCTTCTGTGGTTTGGTTATTACTTGGCAAAAATTGCTGAATATTTTTTACAATGCAATTTGGTATATGACACTGAGAGTGTAAAAGTGCTACACTCTGAATGAAAGACCAGAACGATATCAGAATTCAGACCTAACCCGTTTTGGAAAGACCTTCCATGAAACACTTGAAATGCCACGTTACTCCACATCCGTTACATTTATTAATTTCAGCGCATGTGGCAACCTATCAGTGTTTCACAGAAACGGCAGATTTCAGACTGGATGTTATTATTTTTTTAATTTATTTTGAAACTTCACTGTGACTACTGTGAGCTAATTGACCTTACTTCAAATTCCTTCAGAAAAAACTTGATTTCACCACTTAGAAAAGGTCGATGATCAAACAGACGGAACCATATTTCACCCACGTCTAAAAATAAAAGAATATGAACCATTAATAGAACTTTACCCCATTAAACAGTAACCTATTAAATATATCACACAATACACGTATCATATGACAAACACAAACCCTTGATAACTGCTGCCATATTACTGTGCAGTATGTAGTCCAATGAGATTAAAGAGCGGGAAATAATTCATTTGTAATTCGCTGTGGTTTCCGAACTTCTTGTTTCTTATTGGTGGCAATGGTTAGAGCAATATCGATCAGTACATCACAGCCATCTTACGTCTGCGCATTGTTCGCCGCAACACGGTGCCTTGTGTGCCAAACATGTAGTGCCATCTGTGGCGGAATTAAGAAATCGTCGAAGTTAGGAATTGTGGGTAATTTGTTTCAGCAAGGCAGGCAGGCATCAGTGTGCATAGTGTTTCGAAAGAGGAAGGTGGTTTTTATTCGCAAATGTAGTAGTGTCACTCGTTTATTGTCGTTTTGGACTGAAAATTATTTCAGGCCAAATCGTCAAAATGCCGGGTTTGATTCGTGTGAGTGAATTTGTTGAAGAAACTCGTGAGGATTATAATTCACCAACAACATCAACGTTTGTGTCACGGATGCCACAATGTAGACAGACAATTGCATCTTTGGAAGAGGTAAATTAGATTCGTCAGAGGATTTTTTTTGGAGGGGGGGTTTCGTTTCGTTTTGTCGTAGTCTGAAAATTGCTGCTTGCATATGTTGCTTGTTTTGTATAAAAGTTACTGTGATAGAACGTTGATTTTGTTTACAATCTCTAGTACTTGCAATATTAAGCCCCGTTTATATTGCCGGCAAGGAAGGGGCATCATTATTATTCGACTTCTTTCCATTCAAGTGATTATGTAGTGTTGGGAAGGATGGTGTTCAAGAAGCTTGATTAAAGTGCGAAAATTGCAGTGACAGGTTGTGGGTTAAAATTAGGAGTATTTACATTAATAACCTCGTTTTGCAGTAATTCACTCCATAAGGAAGCCTTTGTGTGAACCATAGTAGTAGTGAAATCTTGGAAGTTTGCACAAGAGTTGGTTTGTGAATGTGCATTTGGGAATAAATCATATAGCTTATCCTTGTGCGCCAGCATGCTAAAACCTACATTATTAGAGATGCGCTTCAGTAATGTGGTTTCCATTTTCAATTCTCTGCTACTTGTGGTGTGTGTCACCAGAAATGAAGGTGAGGAAGCGTTGGGCTGTTGCGTCAAATGAGTGATTGAATTTTGACAGGTGTTTTTCATCCATAAAAGCATGACTTCTGTGCTGGATTGAATTGTATCTCTCCCCCAGTTCAGGGCAGCAGGTGAACTTAACACGTAAGATGTGTCTCGTATCCAATGTAGCAGTCACGTTCCTTATAGAATGTACTCGAATCTTGGCCGGGGCACCGGTTGCCCAGAATATTTAGAAATTTGACTGAGGTGTGCAGAAGTATGCAGCGCATTTTTCACACTCTTGGTTGTAGTTAACTGCGTAATCTCTGACCCTGCACTTGGCTAATCTGGAAGAAATGTAGAATCCACGAAGGAGAATTTTGTTTTGCGTATTTTCATCCTTTTCGATTGCTGTACAAAAAAAGTACCGTTGTTTCGTATGGGTATGAAGCTGCTTCTTTTACAGTTCTTAACCTGCGGGCCACATACGGCCCTCCGGTATATTCTGTGACGTCCTCATATCTTTGTTACAAAAATTGTACTACTGTATATTTCGAGAAATAGTTACCTGATGTTACATAACTTGATTTGGCAGTTCTGAAACTCACTGTGAGCAACTGTTCGGCTTAGTCGTTCTAGGACCGGCGAACATTTGGAGGGATGCCTGCGAATCGAAAAACAAAAGAACAAATTAAACCTGATCGTGAAAGATTGCTCGAGCAAAAACAGTGTAAAATACAAGAGCTCAATTTTTGTAATTCTGTATATAGCTGATCCTATTCTGCCGATTAGTGTAGAGGTTTTATTCTAAATAATTTACGTTCCATTCCTTCACTTCTTAAGTCCAGAACAATTCTTTAATGAGTCTGGTTGTGTCTTCCACGTCTTCAAGCCTTGTAGTAGCTGAAGTATCCTGTACATCCCTGAATTGGCAGCCCTGTGACGATTCTGTTATTTTAGCTAATTAACGTTTGAACTCATTCATGTATAGTTCCTAGTTTTTACATCTTCTATTCGTCAATTTTTAAATAAACTAGAATATTTCTTTGATTCACCATATGTAGCACGTACGGGAGATGCACACAAAATTTTAGTCCGACTACTTAGAGACCAGAGCTCGCTGATTTCTTAAACTGGATTCATCTGACTCGTGGGTTTCGGTGGGCTGTTGGAGTAGTGAGCCTTCTTATTCCATGAGAGGCCGATAATATCTTAACTAGGTGAGTGACCATTGGCTTTTCAAAGAGGTTTCGGCTGCGGGCGTTTACAAGGATGTAGATGCGGTATTAAAATTAGTTGTTCCTTTTTTTATACGTCTTGCGTATTCTACTACATTAGCTATAAAAATAACAAGAACAGAAAGAAAGCTGGTGACAGGTTCAAATTCGATTGCCAATATTAAACAGACGTGGCTTTATTTGCACGCATTGAAAGTGTAAAAGTGGGCTAGAAAACTTTTCGCTCCAGCAGAACACACTGGAAATAAAAGTAGGTGATTCCAGTTTTTTTGTGCAGGACATGAAGGAATGAAGTCATCAAGAAACTGGATATCGGCTAGACGACCGGGATTCGAATCCCGACAGTGACAACAGTTTTTGTGTACCCTGCGAGAGAGAGATAGAGAGAGACAGGTTCTAAGACCAGCAGAACCGCCTGGACGGCGAGCTATTCGGCCGAGTGTGAAGTTGATAACGCGCCTCCATGTATTGCCGATGTTTAAGAAATTCGCCTGATCCCCCAGAACAATATTTGCTCCAGTTCGCGGATACACTGCCGGGCGACAGGACACGACCTCTCTTTTATGCGCGTTCGTTTTTTTCAAAGAACGCGGTGAGAACCAGTTCGAAGGACCACTGCCGTTTCAGACGCCAGTGAGGGAATGCCGGAAACATTCAAGGTCACACCCAATATAAGGCATGCACTGGACAACTTCCTGTTTAATTCCGCAGTGTTCCTGAAAACTGGTTTCACTTACACCAGACTGTACCGTGGAGGTTCATAAAGACGAGAGTGCAAGGAGAATTCTAAATATAGAAGGAATCTGGGGCTGAGGTCGATACCAAGAGGGTGAAAACTCCAGGAACTGTGTATTGAAGAGGAACAGAGGATAAGAAGACGGAATGGAAGTAAATAGGATATGAAAGAACTGCTGTTTGCATTCTTTTTCGTTTGTTTTACCGCACTTTCGTTTCGTGCTTTAGTCTTGACCTTCGCTTGTTGATTTATCTCCCACAAAGAGGAAAGGAAATGGTTTCCTGGAGTTCATTCTGGGGCGCAGATGATAACTTGCAGACTTCACAAGAAATTCATTGTTTATGCGGGAGTCGATGGTGCTTCACTCGAATCACAAAAGCATTTCGTTGGACCATTTCTCATTTTCACAGTTTATTTTTCCGAAAATCTTCCCTCTTCTACACCCCAGTTGGTAATTTCCCATGAGATTTTCCAAACAAAATGTTGCTTACGTATCCCTCTTGGCGTGCTACAAGTCTTTCCCATCACATCCTCCCTGATTTTATGTATTCTAACAAGTGGTGATCCTCCAGATTGGAGATCAGGCCTTATAGAAAAAGACGTGTTACGAAATGTTACACAGTGCCAGGGACGTCAATGATGGTGGATGTGAATTGGATTCTGCTGGCTTAGGATTGGGGCACAATGAGGAGCTCGGGTTTTATGAAAGGCAGGGAACTTTTTGACTAGCAGAGGGACTCGTAACTTCTCTAGAACTATTTTGCTTCATGAAGTTTGTTGCTATGTACTGTGTGTACGAAATTAACTTATAATAGGACTGAGGGCTAAGGTGGCTGAGGTTGACTAGCGCTGAATGAACAGCAAATGTTTTAGAAAATATTACAACAACAAAAAAAGCCACGTCTCCTTCCCTCTGTTTACTCGTTTCATCACGGAACGGACGACTTCCGTGATCACTACAAACAAAGCGGGTGGTAGGGCTTTAAATGGACCATAATTCGTTAACATAAATGCAGTTCCCTTCTGATTACCTTCAGCAGAACAGGAAGTAAAGCTTTTTTGGGTGGGGTGGGGGGGCAACTGGTACTAGCTATTAATGTTTTATTTATTTTAGTATGTAATATGGTGATTTGCGTTTGAGGAAATCGTCATGTCTGTCTCTTATCAGGTGTAATGTATTGGCTCTCGAAGTATAGAATGATCGAAAAGTCACATATCCAGTATTAAAATATTTATTTTTGGTTGTATTTGAATACTGTTCGATTGGATTAATAAACACGCAGTGTCGCTGTGACTGCACGAGAGCCCACATACGTTACGTTATAATCTTCTCGCGCCAGTCCGTCGGTTGTCGTCAAACAATCGAAGTGCAAGGAAGTCTTTTTTACAAGTGGAACGAGTGTTCATTGTCTAACACTACCTGGCATCTCATTCCTAATTAACTTGTCAGTTTGAGTTTGCGGATACATTTACCGATTTTCTTACGCCTAACAAATCGACAGCGTTGAGCTGTGCGTTTCAAACGTCACTGCAGAAAGTCTTTACTGGGTAGGATCAGACTTGAGGAAAAGGGTAAATGTGTGGCTGAACGCGGTGAAAAATTCTAACACTTGGGACTTATGCCTCCGTGACAACCTAAAATCTCATGTAACTGGACGACGGACGTCAGCTGGTTTCTACTCTCTGGTGGTTTTTAATTCGTATTTCAGTGCCAGGCTTCAGAATTGAAATAGCAGGGTCTAAGAAAAATGAAATGGACTAATTTTTAATAAAAGAAAATATAATGCTGGGTACTCTGGTAGTAGGAGCATGTAATAATGTTGGACGTCAGCGCTATTAGATGCAAGGATTAATATAAATCGATGATGACCGTGGATTGAGGTTCTGCCTGTAGTTCGTGTTGACAGCCAGACTAATGATGAACTACAGGTGTTCCATGAACTGACACCAGAAGTAACTTGTATATCAACCAGGTGTATTATGCTCTTGTAGCAGTGGCCACGCGGCCAGAGGCATGGACCTCGTGCGCCTGGCCGCTGGGACCGTGAGTTCGAGTCCCACTCAAGGCATGGATGTTTGTCCATGTCCTTTCTCTTCCAGTCTGATGGATAAAGACTGGCCATGGAAGGCAAGGCGAAACCACCGTGGTGCTTTAGCAAGAAAACCCCGATGGGGGTCACGACGGTCAAAGCTGACCATAGACGATAAAAAAACGTAACAATCGAAGTGCAAGGAAGTCTTTTTTACAAGTGGAACGAGTGTTCATTGTCTAACACTACCTGGCATCTCATTCCTAATTAACTTGTCAGTTTGAGTTTGCGGATACATTTACCGATTTTCTTACGCCTAACAAATCGACAGCGTTGAGCTGTGCGTTTCAAACGTCACTGCAGAAAGTCTTTACTGGGTAGGATCAGACTTGAGGAAAAGGGTAAATGTGTGGCTGAACGCGGTGAAAAATTCTAACACTTGGGACTTATGCCTCCGTGACAA